AACTGCTGAAAGGTATTCTTTAAGAAGAGGAAGAAGAAAAAGGAACTCTGACCATTTGCCACAGCATGGATGGAACTGGAGAGCGGATAAATACCACATGATCTCACTCATTTGTGGAATATAATGAACAACATAAGCTGATGACTGTCGGGACTTGGAGGGAAGGTAGGGGAGGGTGGGGGTAAGGGGAAAAGATCAACCAAAGGACTTATATGCAACCATATAGGCCTAATCAATGGACATGGACAACGGGGGGGTGAGGGCATGAGCGGGGGGGGGGGTAGAGGGTAACGTGGGGACAAGGACACATATGTAATATCTTAATCAATAAAAAATATATTAAAAAAAAAATTAGGGAAGTTCCACTCTATTCATAGTTCTCTAAGTTGTTGTTGTTGGTTCTTTGTGTGTGTGTGTGTTTTTAAACCTCGCCCAAGAATATTTTTCCATTGATTTTTAGAGAGAGTGGAAGAAAGAGGGAAAGAGAGAGAAACATCGATGTGAGAGAAATACACTGATTGGTTGCCTCCTGGATGCTCCCCAACCAGGCCCCCCCCCCCCGGGCCGGGGAGGAGCCTACAACCGAGGTACATTCCCTTGACTGGAATCGAACCTGGGACCTTTCAGGTCCCAGGTTGATGCTCTATCCACTGAGCCACGCTGGCTAGCACTTGTTGGTTTTTTTTAATCATAAGTAGGTGTTGAATTTTACCAGGTCCATTTTCTGCATTGATTGGAATAATCACATAATTTGTTCCCCTTAATCTCTTAACTTTTTTTTTTTTAAACTGAAATGAAAACCCCAGTGGGTATTTTTTTTTTAATATATTTTATTGATTTTTTACAGAGAGGAAGGGAGGGAGATAGAGAGTCAGAAACATCGATGAGAGAGAAACATCGACCAGCTGCCTCCTGCACATCTCCTACTGGAGATGTGCCCGCAACCCAGGTACATGCCCTTGACCGGAATCGAACCCGGGACCCTTCAGTCCGCAGGCCGACGCTCTATCCACTGAGCCAAACCGGTTTCGGCGTAATCTCTTAACTTTGATTTTCTAATTTTAAACCATCCTTGCATTCTTAGGGTAAAACTCAACTTGGTTATGACATATCATTATATATTGCTGGATTTAATTTTCTAGGTTTTTTACCCCTATTTCCACATCTTGTGTCATACTTTCATTGGCTCATTATAATAGTTATATTGGTCTCATAAAAGTTTCAAGAGACTTCTTTCTTTCCTATGATTGGAATTGCCCACTCATTAAAGGTTTGTAGAACTCATCTATAAAGCTCTCTGAGCTTGTTCTTTTGGGGAAGTAGATTTTAAAAATATATAGTCAATTTTTTTGTGGTTATAGAGGGTCTATCCAGGTTTTCTGTTTCTAGAATCGGCTTTGGTAAGCTGTGCCTTCTCTAGAAATCTATACCTTGTGCTTATGTTTTCCAATTTACTGACACACAGTTGTGCATAATAGCCTTTAAAAATGTATCTGTGCCGAAACCGGTTTGGCTCAGTGGATGGAGTGTCGGCCTGCGGACTGAGAGGTCCCGGGTTCGATTCCGGTCAAGGGCATGTACCTGGGTTGTGGGCACATCCCCGGTGGGGGATGTGCAAGAGGCAGCTGATCGATGTTTCTCTCTCATCGATGTTTCTAACTCTCTCTATCTCTCTCCCTTCCTCTCTGTGAAAAATCTATAAAATATATTTTTTAAAAAAATGTATCTGGACAATCATTGTGGAGAGTCGCCGTGGTTTCCTGCTTCAACAGTGCTTGGGCGGAACCCAGAGCACCCAGAGCTTGATCCATCCCAGCCAGCTGCCCAAATCCAGCCTTCTGCCACCTCCAGAGTGCCCGCCCTCTGCCACCGCTCTAGCGCAGTGCAGCAGAGTCTCCATGAAGACCGGGTCCACCTCGCAGGTGCGCCAGAACTACCACCAGAACTCGGAGGCCACCATCAACTGCCAGATACACCTGGAGCTCTGTGCTTCCTATGTCTACCTGTCTATGTCTTACTACTTTGACCATGACGATGTGGCTTTGAAGAACTTTTGCTGAACATATTTTCTTCACCATCTCATGAGGAGAGGGAATGTGCTGAGAAATTGATGAAGCTGCAGAACCAATGAGGCCGAATCTTCCTTCGGGATATCAAAAAACCAGACCGTGATGACTGGGAGAATGGGCTGAATGCAATGGAGTGTGCATTGCACTTGGAAAAAAAGCATGAGTCAGTCACTACTGGACTTGTACAAACTGGCCACTGACAAAACTGACCCTCATTTGGCATGAGTGGGGGGGCATGGGGGGATAAGGACACATATGTAATACCTTAATCAATAAAGAAATTTTTTTAAAATGGCCCTCATTTGTGTGACTTCATTAAGACTCGCTACCTGAATGAACAGGTGAAATCCGTCAAAGAATTGGGTGACCACGTAACCAACTTGAGCAGGTTGAGGGCCCCTGAAACTGGCATGCCAGAGTTTCTCTTTGATAAGCACACCCTGGGAGACAGTGATGAGAGCTAAGCCGTAGGCTGGCTTCCCATAGCCACGGGGGTGACTTTCCTGGTCACCAAAGTAGTACATGCGTGTCATAGTTACCTTTATCTTTTCTATAACTTGTACCAAATCATCCATTCACGTCTTTCATTGGTACCATTACTACAAATACTAGTAATTTGGTACCCCCCCCAAAAAAAACATATCTGTGTTATCAATCATCTCTTGTATAATCTATTGTATCTGTAGGCTATGTCTCCTTTTCATTTCTAATATACATAATTGACTTCTCTCTTCTCTCCTCATATCTAGGTTTTTAAAGGGTTGGCTTTTGTTTTTCAGCTTTTCAAAGATTCAACTTTTGATGTTCTCAATTCTCTCTATCACTTGTTTCTTTCTGCTTCATCAATTTCTGCTCATCCTATTTTTCTCCTACTTTTTCTAGGTTTACTATGCTTTTCCTTTTATAGCTTCTCGAGTTGGGTGTTCAGTTTGTTGACTTGTTAACTGCTTGTTGACCCAACCACCTACTCAACATCTCCACTAGCACATTGTGGTGAAAGGCATACCTTTACTCAATTGCTCAGGCCAAAAACTCAGGAATCATCCTTGTTTTTTCTCTTTCTTTATACCCTACAGCCAATCTTTTCTGCTTGATTTTAAAAATATACCTTGAATCTCACAGCTTCTCAGAACCTCCACTGCTACCATCCTAATTAAAGCCACCATCACCTTTCCTAGTCTGTTGTCAGAACCCCGGACTGGGCTCTTGCTCCTACTGTTGTCCTAGCACAGGTAATTCTCCATGCTGCACTTATGACGTAGATCTGATAATGTCAGCTCCAAGTTCAAAATTCCCCAGGGGTTTCTCATCTCAGAATAAGTTCCCAGTTCCCATGGTTGCTCCAGCTTCTTCTCCAATTGCACACCCCACCCCTCTCTAGCCACATAAGCTTCCTTGTTAGCCCCCAACATGCCAGACATAATCTTTCCTCAGGACATCTGAATTTGACTGAAATGTTGTCTCCCCAGATATCCATATGGGAGAATAAAATGAGGGCAAAAGCCTGTGGATATCTATAATATTTTTATATAATTTTTATTGATTTCAGAGAGGAAGGGAGAGGGAGCAAGAGATAGAAACATTAATGATGAGAGAAAATCATTGATCAGCTGCCTCATGCACACCCCCTACTGGGGATCGAGCCTGCAGTCCTTGACCGGAATAGAACCTGGGACCCTTAAGTCTGCAGGCCAACGCTCTATCCACTGAGCCAAACCAGCTATGGCTGGATATCTAAATAACATCCCCTGCACCCTTGTTTTATCTATCTCAAAGCCCTTATCACTATGTGACATTATAACATCCCCTGCACCCTTGTTTTATCTATCTCAAAGCCCTTATCACTATGTGACATTATAGTATACACTTATTTGTATGTTTAGTATGAATCTTCCATATAATGTTAGTTTCCTGTCTTGTTCAGTACTGTGCATCCAGAGCCTGGAACAGTGCCTGGCTGTTTAATAAATGAATGGGTTGGAGCCAACTCAGAATCAGAGGGTTCCTCATTAATCATAGAACTAGCACAAGGAGCATTGGATGAGTTGGGTGTTGGCTGGAATCAGAGTAAGGTCGCTTTGACAAGCAGTCTTGTCCCGAACACCCCATTGGTTAAAACTTTTCTCATACTCCTAAATATTTTTACAAAACAGAATTGCTGGATCTTAGCTCCCAAATCACCTCTTCTAGGAAGTCTTCCCTTTCTGCTCCAGGCAGAGCTTAGTCTGTTCATCTGCGATCCCAGTGTCCCTTCTTCACACCTCCACCAAACCATCTGATCCAACAATGACAAGTGTCATGCAGCTTGGCATGTACCCTCTTCCCCCATGAGAGTGTTTCACCAAGGCCAAGGCTGTGATTTGTTGTCAGCTTATTCCCTGCCTCAATGAGAATGTGATTCATGGCAGGCTCAGATGAAAGAATGCAATGTGCCTATTAAATCAAGATCCCTTGGCTGGAACAACATCAGGGTCCAGGGCAGGCAACTTTGCTGCTTCTACTGAAGGTAATGGTATTTAGGAAAAGTGGATGCAATGGAACATTTATTGCAGCGTACTTGGTGCATTTGTGGACAGCATGTCAACAGCCAGGGAGGGCCGCGCAACCAGGAGTCTGGAGCCTAGGCCCTCAATTGCCCCAGCATCCGCAGGGGCCCATTAATCCTTAATATTCAAATTCCGCCCACTAAACCAGCCCCTTCGTGCCGAAGCCACCTCTTTTCACCAAATGATGGCCAATGGCAGCCAATAGGCAGCTGGACAGGGTACCCGCCCCCTTTTCCCTGGTCAGAATGGACACAAACTCCCGCCAATTGGTTGCGTCGCCGCTGAGGCTCCGCCCCACCCCCGGCCATCGCACCCAATTGCGGGCGGGCTCGCTGCGGGGGCCGAGGGGCGGGACGCAGGCGCGCAGGTGCAGCTGCGCGCATGCCGGCCGGGAGGGCGGGGCGCGACGTCGGCCGTGCGGGGTCCCGGCGTCGGAGGCGCGCGCTCCCTCCTCTCGGAGAGAGGGCTGTGGTAAAAGCCGTCCGGAAAATGGCCGCCGCCGCCGCTGCCGCGCCAAGCGGAGGAGGAGGAGGAGGCGAGGAGGAGAGACTGTGAGTGGGACCGCCGCAGCCGCGGGCGGGGACCCTTGCCGAGGGGCGGGGGGTAGGGGCGGGACGTGGCGCGGGAGGGGCCCGCGGGGTCGGCGACACGGCTGGCGGATGGCGTCCCTCCTCTCTACCCTCCCCCTCCCGCCGCCGCCGGTGACGGCTCCCCCCCGGCCCGTCACCCACACTCGCGGGTGTCCGTCCTCGACGCAGCCTCCCAGGGCCGCCTTCGCCTGGCGTCCCGCTTCCTCCCGCCGTCGGTGCGCATCCCGGCCCCGAGCCCCTTGGGCGCCTCTTTCGCCAGAGCTTCACTTGTCCGGGCTGCGTGTGCGTCGTGCCCTTCTAGGGGCTTCGGGCCCGCGGCGCCGTCGCGCGCCCGCGGCCCCGGCCTCTCCCTTCCTCGCGCTCTCCCCTCTCCCTTCCTCGCGCGCCCCCTCTCCCGTTACTCGCCCCCCCCACCGGCGCGCGTGCGCAGTCCGTCTCCTGTCGAGAGAGTGCGCCACAAGGGCTCCTGCGCTCTCATCCCCATCTCCAGGCTTTGCCTCCCCCTCCTTCTCGCCCATTCCATGAATTTCTGCCCCCGTTGCGAGCGAGTCGTCCACCATCTCCTTTGCTATCTAGCAGGAACAAGTAGGTGCGAATTATTGTCAACCCACAAAAGGAACTGGATATTGTGCTCCTGGTCCCACAACTCATCCTAAAGAGGCTGTTCTAGTTCCCATCAGGAGCCGTGGGTAGGGGATTGCGTGTCGGGCAGCACCTGAGGCTCTTCTGTGGCAGCGCGCCCCCGGGGTCTTTGGGGATGCTGTGGCCTCAGAATATGAGTGCCCTTCCATCCTCCCCCCTTCGCCGGCGATCTTCCAGTTACATAAGTGGAATGGGACCTAGTCTGTAACGGGCTCCCATAGTCTTGGATCGCGAAGATCACCAATACCAGATGGGGCAAGTTCATCTCATCGCTGTGGTTCCTGTCACTTGTCCCTGAAAGTTTATTTTCTTTCTAGTGTGGTTATGACTGAATCACCCAAACTGAAACTCAGGTGACTTTTACGTGGCGTGGCAATGTGTCTGTGGCTTTGCACTGAAGACTTAAGAGGTCATTGTGAAGAGTCTTAAAAGAGAGCTCTTACAGAGGAGACCGTGTATGACATTGCTAAGTATGGACCCGAGAGGGGGAAGCTTGCTCTTGAATATCTCTGTGGCAGTCGCTTCTGTTGTGTGTTCGGTGTGGATTGGTCCCAGCAGAAATGGGCTCCACCACAACATTGATATTCCTGACTCATGGTCAGGCAGATGTGTGCTTCTGGTTATTTTTCCAGGAACAGGAATGGGCTTTGCAGAGCTATTCACATGTTGTGTCTGCTGTGTTCACACGTTGTGTCTGCTGTGTGGGATCACTATCCTAAATAATGAGATGATAGGATCAAATTAAGGGGGTGGTTGGTGATCGTGGAGCCAAACCGTGTGTGTTGCTAAGTGGCTTAGACTTTTTAGAACTCTCACAAGTTGTAGGCATAGTAGAAAAACGAAGCATAGTCGGACCTTGGTAGTAAAATTCGCTGTTAATAGGTGAATTTATTACTCTAGAGGGGAAATTTGGGTTTTGTGGCTGGACTTTTCAACTGGATCTCAGTGACTACAGTTGATAACAAGATTGAGCTGATCTCTTGGGTCTTTTGAAATATGCTGGATCCTTATGAAAAATGCAGGGTCTGGATTTTTAGGTCTTCAGGGAATTTCCCTCTGGGATTCAGGGAAATGGGATTTTTTAGGACTTCTACTTAAAATCCTAGTCAAGAAGCCTAGGAAACACTTCCTTTTAAAGGGCACATCAATCTAGTACAAGTACAGTTGATTAAGTAAGTCGCCACAGAGCACCCATTTGTAGCATGTTAGCTAGGTGGCTGATCACTGAGGTGCATACTGTCCGCGCACACAGACAGACAAGCCTCACTTGACAAAGATTCCAAAGTATGCACTTCTAAACCTGAGATGTGACAGGACAAGGGCTCTGCTTTGTTTTGCCGTTATTGGCAATGTGTTTGCCTCCTCAGATGCGCTCCAGCTAGTTGTTTGTCATGCCCCCAGCCCTTTAAACAGCACAGGCAGCATCCAGAATATAGTTTCTCTGCAAAGTTCCTGGTGGCATCTGAAGTCAGCATGTCCTAACAGCTTGACGGCTTTCTTGCTAGTACTGGCTTATCACACTGTCCTATTTCTTGTTGTTACAAATTTGCCTGGAATGCTTTAAACCTAGAGTACTTTGTTGCACCTGACAGAGCATGATGCAGTCAAACCCTACTGTTTTTGTGTTGGTGGGGTTAAAATACAATTTTTGCATTCTATTTGCAGTTTCTAACCAGAGTCATTGTTTCCCTGTCTGCCCTGCCTCTGAGTGGCTGAATCTAGTGGGGCGGGGAGGCAAGCTGTGGTGTTTGACAAAACTGGCTAGATGACTGCAGCATTAAGTTGCCCCCACCCAAATATTCCTTCCCCCACATAGAGATGGAGTGAGAAGCTCGCTTCTTTAACTTAGAATAAAGAAGAGCAGAGGTAAAATTTTTAGTCCCGGTCTCAAGGCCGGTTTCCACCGCTAATGTACCTGCCTGGGATTATTTGCATGATAAATGTTGTGTCCTGAAACTAGTCATCTTTTATAAAGGTGAATACCAGTGGAAATATTTAAATGGCTAAGAGCAGTTTGCTGGCAGGTTGCCTGAGTATCTGTGAGGAGGGGAGAATCACAGAAGATATTTGGCGTTTGTAGTAACTAGTGTTTTAAACGAACGGGGGTAAAGAACAGTCCTAGAATGGAGGCACGTTTCAGGGAGTTTGGCAGGACACTTCCTTGTATTCACTGCCCTCTGTTATGGTGACATGAGACCAGCCTCCTATGGCCGACAGGCACAATCTTTTTTCTTGGGTAGAGCATTATTGCCGCTCCAATGGAAGGACCTTGTCCTCAATGCTTCCGTACTGGCCCTGTTCAGGCAAACTGCCATTGTCACCACTGTGCTTCTACCTTGTTTTGGTTACGACAGACGTAAATGGGTTCTTCTTATTTGAGCTCACTCACACAAAGGTTGTGCTTCTCTGCCTTTACCTGCTCTCTTCTGCCTTTCTCTTGCAAGGAACCTTTACCTATTGAAAACTTGACTTTCATGCCAGTGCTTAAAAACTTGGTTCCACCACTTTGATGGTAGGTATGGTGTGTAGGGGACCTGACCGGAAATGGGAATTTGGGGGTGGGCAGGGCATCCCCACTCAAAGGGCGAAGTGACTATTCTGTTAGAGAATAAAGCCTTGGCCTTTATAGCTTTTTCAAGGCACACTTGTGTTGGGTCTGCTGGCATATGGATGTGTTCTCACTGTAGCTGTTTTGCTGTTACTGCAGAAGTCTGGACTCTCGGGAGCAAGCCTGAGGAAGCGGTCACTTGTCTTCCTTGCCTAAGAGCTGGGGGTGTTATATATATGGACCTGCAAATCACTGCTTTATTGGGTTTTCACCTAACTGCTCTCATCTGCTGGCTCTTTATTTCCCCCATGAAATCTTCGGTTAATTAAAGATCTTAAACTTTCAAAGCTGGAAGGAACCTAGTCCAGCTCCCTCCGTGTATAAGTAGAAAAACAATTGTGGCTGTGAGAAATTGTGGCTTTTCCAGGGCCTCCCAGCCAGGATACCAGTTTGATTTTTATTATATAGCTAACTGAGTAATACTGTTACTTCGACTTTGGGGATTTCAAAGCATTCTATGACTCGACTGTTTAAGAGAATTGTAAGGCCTCACTGCACCTCAATAGATAATTTTAGGAACCATCCTGGTAGTTACAGACCAGCCGTAAGTAAAAGACTTGGTTTGTGTTGCCCTTCCTCTGCGTTTGATTACACAGGTAATTGTGTGAATAGTCTCTCTAAGCTGTACACACTAGGCTTTTTTTAGCGTAAAGATGAAAGTGCTACTTTTGGGCCAGCGAGATATCCAAGATTAGCTAATATGGGCCAGTTTAGGTTTTAACAAGGAAATGATGGTTATCTTAATGATAAAAATGTGATGACAAAAGTCCTTTTTTGAACATGTGTTCAAGAGCAAAAGAGAAACTGTCAAACTAATAACTCAGCTTGTTGAACATTGCAATTTACTGATCCGAGAGGCTTTTAAAAAGTGATTGCTCTGAGTCAGACTTGTGTATTTTGGAGGTTGGCTTTGGATCCCCCAGGGCACTTGGTTTCCATTGATGCTGCTTTTTTCTCTTAGGGTGACAGCCCCATTTACATGATGTTACAGCAACTTGTTGCAGCTTCAGCTGCTTGAAAACGAAGGGAGACTTTGCCTCTGGATTTCACGTGTTCTTTTGAGGATGAGATATTAATGTTGCGTGTTCTCTTGAACATGCATTCTATCCCTGAGTGTTTCTGTATGACATGGTATAAGAAATACTTACCAGAGATCATCACTAATGATATGCTTTATAGTGTCAAAAGTGTCCTTCAGAAGTGACAGGACCTGTGATAGTGTCGATTCTAACGCATGAATCTTTCCTTTATTTTAGCACCGTGTTTTATGTGCCAGTAATTTGCAGTTTATCCTTTGTTTCTAGCTAGGTAAGCTGGGAAATAGCATAGTACTTTGTCTATATGTTTATCTTCAAAATGTCACAAATAGCCCTGGGAAAAAGGTCGTGCAGCACAATGGGGGCTTTCAACTTACGATTTTCTTTGTTTTAGGCTCCATAAAAATACAGACTCACCAGTTCCTGCTTTGATGTGACATGTGACTCCCCAGAATACATCTTGCTTCTGTAGACCAGCTCCAACAGGATTCCATGGTAGCTGGAATGTTAGGGCTCAGGTAAGTAACCTTCCTTTTTTTTTTTTTAGTATATGTCCTGGTTTGGCCATCTGTTTTTAAAAAAATAATAAAAACAAGGAAAAAAATAAGATATACTACTCTTGGACAGTATAAAAGTACCCCAAAGACAAAAGACATAACTGTGCCAAACTGTGCCATATAATAAAAAAAAGTCACTTCCCTGAGCCCTGAAAGGTCAGTTTGGGTAGGGTTACTTGGTAGCCACAGCGTGATCTGGGGGCGGGCGTCAGATTAGAGCCGGAACTGGTGATCTGCAACTTCAGTTCACCTTGAGGCAGGTCAGCTGAGCTGAGAGCGCTTTGACTGAGCTTTTCACCTGCCGCTGCTGCTGTTGCCCAGTGGTCTTCAGCATGGTGCTTTGTTTGCTTTGGTTTTGGGTAAATGACTTCTGGTCAACATTAGTGAGCAGTGGTAATGTATTTTCAGATACAGGAACTGGTGTATGGTCCCCTGGAAGGATAGCCTCCTGAAAGCTGTCACAGAACAGTGGAGCCTATGGCTCATGGCATGTACTTGCCACACTCCTTCCATGGGAACTAAAGAGAACACTCAGACACATGTCTGGCTCTTGAGACTCTAGAGCAGAATGAATGCTTTTTGAAAAGCTGGGGATCCAAGCTGTTGGAGGTCTGACACTCGGGTGCTCTGTCAGCCACACTTTTGGCTACTTTGGTGCCCTTGTGTGGACTTAAGTTTTGTAAAAATGAGTGGTTCCTTAATTTCTCAATTGTCAGGCTCAGTATCTCAAGCTTTTTAAAAATCCGTGGCCACTCCACGTTTGATGTTTTGACACCTGTATTTTAAACATTCCAGGTGGTAAGGCAAAACATTCTAATTGATTTTTTCCATTTCTTTTCTTAAGAAAAAAATGTGAGTTTACACATATGCTACCACTGTGATTCCAGCTGAGACTCCCAAGTAGCACTTTGTTGTGTCTCTAGTGGTTTCTGACATCTCAGTCTAAAGCTGTGTGGACATCTTAGCCTGTTTAGAGACTATGTGAGGGGCAGTGTTTGGGCAGAGGAGAATAGAAGGTGTGGAAGGGAAGGGAAGAGCATCACACTGCTGCCAAGTCCCAAATTTGGTTTTGACTCCTGATCCTATGACTCAAATTGTCATTCCCCTTTGCTGTGGGGTATGCCTTGGGCCCTGCTGACAGGACATTCTTTGTACTCCATGTATTTATGCTGGTGGGAGTTGTGTGGCTGGCGCTTTGTGCATTGTCTCGGAAATTGTGTGGACTAAATGTAATATGGGCGGTAAATGGGTTTCTTCTGGATTTTATAAAACATTCAGTGATGACTCTACAATTTCTTCTAAAAAGTATAGAAAGGAAGAGATCTTTTAAAAAATATCTCTTATTATGAATGGGAAAGACAGCGATTTGAGTGAGCATCAAGGAACTTTGAAGGGAATACTCAAAAGGACAGAACCTGTCTTTAGTAGATGAGTGCTTGTATCTTACTAATTTTCTTTTTAAAGAAGCTATAAAAAGAATACATACTTTTATGCATACATACATTTTAAAGTATATCAAGTAAAAAATGAAAGCTTTCTGTTACTCTTTGTGCCTGCTACCCAGAGTAACCATGTTAATAGCTTAACGTAGATCCTTCTGAATCTTCTTCTCAGGCTATACAAATATGCACCTTTTGTGTTTTAACAAAATGAGGTTAGTATTATAGATATTTAGTATTGTATATATTTATCTCTCTGCCTCATTTTTGTTAAATAGCACTATAGTCTGATACTAACTTTCTGTCATGCATTGTCCCCCTGTTGGTTTTCCCAATGGTTCCCTATTAAAGATACTACTGGATTCAACTTACTCATATGTCAGTCTCTTTTTTTTAATATATTTTATTGATTTTTTACAGAGAGGAAGAGAGAGTTAGAAACATCGATAAGAGAGAAACATAGATCAGCTGCCTCCTGCACACCCCCTCCTTGGGATGTGCCCGCAACCAAGGTACATGCCCTTGACCGGAATCAAACCTGGGACCCTTGAGTCCGCAGGCTGACGCTCTATCCACTGAGCCAAACTGGTCAGGGCTGTCAGTCTTTTTGAAGAACAACTGCTTAGACTTGACCTTGCTGGTCGGTACCACCACATTATCTTCCTAAATGGCTATTCCAGTTCCCATGACAGTCTGAGAAAGTGCCACTTCCCCATACCTTCCCAGGATTGGCTAGCCATCATTTAAATTTTTGCTCTTTGGGTTATTAACTGAGGCTGAACCTCAGTAATCATTGGTCATTTGTATTTGGTCTTTGTGAATTGCCTGTTCGTGTTCTGCACTCATTCTTCCATTGAGATATTTTTAAGTCAATTTGTAGAAACTCTCAATGTATTAAGGATATTAATTCTCTTCCATCATGCAGATATTTTTTCCTACTTTATCATATATCTTTTGATTCTGCTTGTCTTTTTGATATATAAGATTTCTGTTATGATTTCTCCTTTTACTTTATACTTAGAAATCCTTTCGTATTGTTGAACACATCAATATTCATCTATATTATCTTTCTTCATAAAAAACTTGAGCCCTGGCCAATGTAACTCTGTTGATTGTGTATCGTCCCATGCACCAAAAGGTTGCCGGTTTGATTCTCAGTCAGGGGACATGTCTGGGTTGCAGGTTTGGTCCCCTGATACCTCTCCCCCCCCCCCCATTTCCCTTCCTCTTTCTCTAGCATCAATAAAAACATTTTCTTGATTTTTAAAAAAGCTTGATATGCTGTATTCACACATGCATATTTGATCTGTACAAAAGGATCTTATAGGTAAGTTGTCCTATGTTTTTTGTATGGTTTTTAAAAATAACAATTTGTATTTAACTTTAGGATAGGATGAGGTATAGAGCCCACTTAGCCAGTTATGTCATAGTTATTTGGTGAACCAGTAATATAGTCTTCACCTTTATCATGTGCTGACTTCAAGTGAACAAAGTATCTCTTACTTTTTTCTTTCTGAATTTTTTCTTTGTGAGGCTTGGTGGCAAGCCTGTCAGCGGATAGTCATTTATTCATTCACCCAACAAATATTTGAGCCCCTGCTTTGAGCCAGGGGTGGTACTGGATCCTGCAAGTGCTGCCTTCTTGACTGGCTGCAGCGCTCATTCTGGAAGATTCAAGAAAATAGTGGATCTTCACAAAAGTAGGTTTTAGATCATCTAGGAGGAAATTCAGAGGCTGTGCTTGTGTGTGTGTGTGTATGATTCTGACATAGAAGTTTTAGCTTTAGGGTAGACTGCAACATAAAGCATAGTTTGTTTTATAACTCATGTAATTGCAGGCTGATTTTTGTCTTGAATTATGATGAGGGCTTTTTGCTGTTGAAACAGTTCTATATTCAGCGAGCTTGATTGTTATGATAGAATAAAAGTTACGTACTGATAAAAATGGTAATTTTCTTCTATGATGATTTTGAAGCTTTCCTGTAGAGGCTGATAAATATAAAGACAGCCTTTTGGTGAATATAATCTTAGGAGAACAAGTGTAATTTTTTACAACTTCCATTATTTAAATCTAATAAATACCCACAAAACCGAAGTGAAATCCTGATTTGTATTGAAAATATTTTTTATTTAAAAAGGGTATAGTCCTAACCGGTTTGGCTCAGTGGATAGAGCATCGGGCTGCGGACCGAAGGGTCCCAGGTTCAATTCCAGTCAAGGGCATGTACCTTGGCTGTGGGCACATCCCCAGTAGGGGGTGTGCAGGAGGCAGCTGATTGATGTTTCTCGCTCATCGATGTTTCTAACTCTCTATCCCTCTTCCTTACTCTCTGTAAAAAATCAATGAAATATATTTTAATAAATAAATAAAAAGGGTATATAAATGATGAAGGAAAAGGCTTCTTATATAAGGCTGGGTTTTTTAAAAATGATTTTTGAATAGTTTGAGTATATAGTACAGAATGAAAAGGGTGGTATTAAAGGTTATATGATAAAAGATCTTGCTGCCCTAGCTGGTTTGGCTTAGTGGCTAGAGTGTCGGTCTATGGACTGAAAGGTCCCAGGTTCGATTCCGGTCAAGGGCACATGCCTGGGTCGCGGGCTTGATCCCCAGTAGGGGGCATGCAGGAGGCAGCCTATCAATGATTCTCTCTCATCATTGATGTTTCCATCTGTTTCTCCCTCTTCCTTCCTCTCTGAAATCAATAAAAAAATATTTTTTTTAAAAAGAGATAAACACCAACACCATTAAAACAAAAACAAAAAAAAGATCTTGCCATCCTGTTCCCGGATATCCATTTCTATCCCTGGAGGCAGCCATCATTACCAGTTCTATTTGTGTGTGTGTGTGTGTGTGTGATTTTTAAATTGTGGTATAATACATAATATCAAATTTACCATTTTATATATTTTAAGTGTACAATTTGGTGACCTTAAGTACATTCTCATTGTGCAGCCATCACCAATATGCATCTCCAGAACCCTTTTCATCTTGCAAAAGTGAAACTGTCCCCATTAAACCATTAGTCCCCATTCCTCCCTCCTCCCCCTGCTCCTGGCAATCACCCTTATACTTTCTGTCTCTATGAAATTGGATACCTCATATTATTATATATATTATACTAGAGGCCTGGTGCACGAAATTCATGCACGGGTAGGGTCCCTAGGCCTGACCAGCAGTCAGGGCCGACTGGGGCCTTCCGACTGCCAGCCGGGGCCTTCCTTCGTTCCGCACTGCCCCCTGGTGGTCAGCACATGTCATAGTGAGCAATAGAACTCCTGGTCAAACTCCTGCGGGAACACTTTGCATATTAGCCTTTTATATATATAGACAGGTATGTGTTTATGTATATATTTTGGGTGTGTATATTTACACTATAAATACTGTGCACATTTGCGATTGCTTTTTTTTGTTAAAGTATCTTGGAGATTGTTTGGTATCAGTTCCTATACACACATATCATTCTCTTCTTTTTTTTTTTTTTTAAATCCTCACCCAAGGATGTTTTTTCCATTGATTTT